GATGCAGCTAAAATCATCCACGTGCAGCTGCTTGGGAGCACTCGCATGCAGGGCCGTGCCGGCAGGTCCTGCCATGCCAGGCCTGGGCACAAGCACGTTGCCAAACAGCCTGGGCTGTGCTGCCCTCACCCGCCAGGCCCTTTGCTGGGAGCCCGTCCCAGCTCGGCACAGGCAAAGAGCGCGGCGCAGGTTTGGCCAGCTTGACCCCTCTCGACATGAGAGAGCTGCTTTAGTTTGGAGCCGGTAATCAGCTCTGAACTCAAATATTACTTTCCTCCCCCAGTTCTGACTCTGGAGATGAGAGGCAAAAATGGAAGAAGAAGAAATCTAAAAGTAGGGACCAGCACGACAAAAGCCAGAAGAAACACCGCTCACGGTCCCGGGGTCGTTCTGCCAGCTCGGGCTCAGAGAGAGAGAGTGACAAGAGGAGAGCCCAGAGCAGAGAAAGGCGGAGGAAGAGAGCTGGTTCCAAGTCCTCTGTGTCCTCTGTCAGCTCTCCGTCCCCCTCGCGTTCCCAGGGCAGGGAGGAGACACAGCAGCTGAGCCTTCAGGAGCGCTTGAGGTTGAAGGAAGAGAAGAAGAAGCAGGCTGCGCTCATGAAAGCCTTGGAGACACCTGAAGAGAAACGGGCTCGCCGCCTGGCCAAGAAGGAAGCCAAGGAGAGGAAGAAGCGGGAGAAGATGGGGTGGGGAGAAGAGTACATGGGTTACACCAACACCGACAATCCCTTTGGGGACAACAACCTGCTGGGCACCTTCATCTGGAGCAAGGTGAGCTCTCTCTCTGCACCCCATGTGTTGTTGGAGGCTGCTTGGGGCCACTCTGCACGTTGCCTCAAAGGAGATTGTCGCCATGCGGCTGCCATGGGATGGGACAGTGGAGCAGTGGGGTGTCAGGAGGGACCCTTTGCATGGGGTGGGAGCATCTGAAAGACTAAAAGGAGCTACGTGAGGTCAAAGGTGTCATCTAGGGCAGTAGCTGGCTGTTTCTGATAGCTCAGTGGGGTTTTATCCCCTTGCTTTTAAAGACTAATGTCTGTAGCCAGGTGTAGAACAAAGATACCGGTCAGGGTGCAGGATGGAGGGACCCAAACCTGCTGGGAGCTGCTAGCTGAGTGCCGAGGAATGTTTAGTGCTCCCGTTACCCCTTATTGAGTCAGGAGTGAACTGCCGAGAGCCCAGTCAGTTCTGGCTGAGAATGATTTTGTTGAGAGGTTGCAGAAGTGGGGTTTGAGAGGGTGAGAGCGCTACAAGGTTGAAGCTTGCTGGAGCAGCAGAAATGGGTAGATGTAGTGGTCTTTGCCACCCTTTGAGAGGCTGTAGAAGTTGCTTTGTTTCATGGTTCCTTTTGACCACTTGGTTTCAGGCCCTGGAGAAGAAGGGAATCAGCCACCTGGATGAGAAGGACCTGAAAGAGAGGAATAAGCGAATCCAGGAGGACAATCGCCTGGAGCTGCAGAAGGTGGGAAGAGATGCCCCCTCCCTCCCCACTGTCTGACAGCGATCCCTGTGGCAGGGCTGTGCTCCCTCCAGTGGACGGCCCAGGTCTTCTGGTCCATCACCTGGAAGTCCCCTTGCTCTTCTTGCTGGGAGTACCTGCAGGTTGTAGGACATGGGACCGGGGGCGCTGCACGTTTGTGTCTTCTAGGTGGAGCTCTTTTCTTGGGGCCAAATCCAACTTGGGAGATGCTGAGGGAACAGCGTTGAGGCACTCTGTTGTGCCCACGTCCCCTGTCCTCTCATGGGCTGACAGTGAGCAGCCTGGCCCCACCTAGCCCACACCAGCTTCTTTTGTGTGTGGCTCTCTGGGGAGCCTGGAGCCAATTGCTGGAGCTGAAGCAATCTGTGAGGGAGTCTAAGGCCATGTCCTCGAGTGTGTGTCCTGTGAGGGTGGCCCAGCCCCTGCAGCCTCACATCTCTTTCTGCCCCGAGCAGGTGAAGCAGCTGCGTCTGGAGCGGGAGCGAGAGAAGGCGATGCGTGAGCAGGAGCTGGAGATGCTGCAGCGGGAGAAAGAGGCAGAGCACTTCAAAACCTGGGAGGAACAGGAAGACAACTTCCACCTGCAGCAAGCCAAGCTGCGGTAGGTGTGCCGGTCTCGTGGGGGCAGGCCCGTTAAGGAGGAGAGCATGGCAGGTACCGTTCACCATCCCTCTCCTCTCACCCAGGTCTAAGATCCGGATTCGGGACGGGAGAGCGAAACCCATTGACCTGCTGGCCAAGTACATCAGTGCAGAGGATGATGACCTGGCTGTGGAGATGCACGAGCCCTACACCTTCCTGAATGGCCTGACTGTCTCCGACATGGAAGATCTGGTGGAGGATATCCAGGTACCAGCTCTGCAGCCCCCATGTGCCAAGGCTCTCTGCCACTTCCCTCTCTTTAGCTCCGCTACCCTGCCCGTGGCTGAGCTCAGCCCATGGTCCAGAACAGGTGCCTGATGTCCTGTTTGTCTCCCTCCTGCAGGTTTACATGGAGCTGGAGCAAGGCAAGAACGTGGATTTCTGGAGGGACATGACCATCATCACAGAGGATGAGATAGCCAAGCTCCGCAAACTCGAAGCCTCTGGGAAAGGAGGACCTGGTAAGCAGGAGGGCAGAGCCCACAGCATGGTGTGGGTGTGGAGGGGAGTGTGAGCAATGGTTAAAGCAGGGTCTGCCCCATGCTTTCAGGCTGGCAGAGGTTCTCTTAATTGCTCTTGGGGGATGTGCTGCATGGAGGCTATGGATCTGGGAGATGTCTTCTGCTGGGGTCCAGCCTTCCACTGTTCAGTGCAACCCAGGACTTCCTGGGTGAACTTGGGCTGACTGCTCAGAGATTGACCAGCTGCCCTCACCCATCTGTGTAGCGGAGCGTCGCGATGGTGTCAATGCCTCTGTCAGCTCGGATGTGCAGTCTGTGTTCAAGGGGAAGACGTATAACCAGCTGCAAGTGCTCTACCAAGGCATTGAGAGCAAGATCCGAGCAGGTGGACCCAATCTCGACATTGGCTACTGGGAGAGCCTGCTGCAGCAGCTGAAGGCCTACATGGCCCGGGCCAGGTGAGAGCAAGGTCTTGTCCCTCAGCTAGGCGTGTAGAAGGGAGCAATGCAGGCCCACTACGAACAGAGCGGGAGACACCAAACCTGAAGTCATTGATGGAGGGGTGCTTTTTTTTTTTTTTCCAAGCTGACTAGTTCTTCCAAGAGGGAAGAAAGGCAGGACACTCAGTCCCTTCTCAGATGGTTTTGTTTACAGCGAGGTCCCCATATGTAAGGGTTACTCAGCCCAGTCGCTGTACAAAACCCAGCAGGTTTCTGCCTGATGCAGTGATTGGCACAGCTCTGGACACTGTGTGGGCGTGGAGTGGCCTGGCTAGGTCTGACCTGACGGCTCATCTCCTCCTCACAGGCTGCGGGAGCGGCACCAGGACGTGCTGCGCCAGAAGTTGTACAAGTTGAAGCAGGAGCAGGGTGTGGAGTTCTTTCCCATCATCAAGAGGGAGCCAGCCTCCCCCAGTGACAGGTATACAGCCCCTTCCTGGGAGAGCACAGCCAGCCAGGCCTTTCCCATGGGTGCCTGGCATCTCTTCCTACCCTTAGATCTTCCCAGCCGAGGAGGGCAAATGCAGCCTGGTGCTCCCATCCTTCCTGAGACAAACCTCCGGGGAGCAGAGAACTAGGGTACCATCTCCGTCCTAGGTATCTCTTCTCTCTTCCCCACAGGCTGGATCCTGAGGAGACCATTGTAGTACAGCCAGGACCATCCTCAGAGTCAGGGGCAGAGCCAGAGTCAGAGGCCAAGGGGGATGCAGAGGGGGAGGCCGTGCTGATGGAGGAGGACCTGATCCAGCAGAGCCTGGACGATTATGACGCAGGGAAGTACAGCCCCCGACTGATGGGCACCAACGAGCTGCCCTTTGACGCCCACGTGTTGGAGGCTGAGGAGGACCTGCACCGGCTGCTGCTTCTGCGTCAGCAGCTCCAGGTCACAGGTAGGTGCTCTGAGGCCAGGCTCTGCACCCACCATCCGTGCAGCCTGCACACGCTTCAGGGTTGCAGGGCCGGAGGGAGAGGGTGAACTCTGTCCCCAGGCAACGGTAAGCAAGAGCCGGATCTGGAGTGCACATCCAGAGCTAGACTGGAAGAGAGATCCAGGTAGTGAAGGGGACCATGGGCTGGACTGAGAGCTGGGGAACGTGGCTCAAACTGCTGGCTTTCTTTGCTAGTACCTGAATCAGGTCCTTCCCCACTCCCGTTGCCTGCTATGAGGGCACGTGTATGTCTGTCCGTCTCCACATCCCCTACCCAGAGCCTGCTGGTCCCTTGCTCTCTCTCCCCTGCCCCCAAGAGCTGTGTCCCCGCAGGCCAGGCCCAGCTGGCACTGCAGGACCGGCCGTCACCTCCTCCCTGCAGGTGATGCTACCGAGAGCGCCGATGACATCTTCTTCCGTAAAGCAAAGGAGGGCATGGGTGCAGACGAGGCGCAGTTCAGCGTGGAAATGCCCCTTACAGGCAAGGCCTATCTCTGGGCTGACAAGTACCGGCCCCGCAAGCCCCGCTTCTTCAACCGGGTGCACACAGGCTTTGAGTGGAACAAGTACAACCAGACCCACTATGACTTCGACAACCCCCCACCCAAGATTGTGCAGGGCTACAAGTTCAACATTTTCTACCCTGACCTCATTGACAAGCGCTCTACACCTGAGTACTTCCTGGAGGCCTGCCAGGACAACAAGGACTTTGCCATCCTGCGCTTCCATGCTGGGCCACCCTACGAGGACATTGCCTTCAAGATCGTTAACCGGGAGTGGGAGTATTCCCACCGCCACGGCTTCCGCTGCCAGTTTGCCAATGGTATCTTCCAGCTCTGGTTCCACTTCAAACGTTACCGCTACCGTAGATGAGGGGCTGCTCAGCTCCCCTCTGGACATTCCCTCTGCCTGACCCAGTACACAGACTCCTTGTTTTCCTTGTTCTCCTTCCTTTTATTCCAAGGGATCTGAGACTGTGACACAAATAAACAAGGGTTATTTAAGCCATGGTGTCCTGTGCATGGGCCCCATGGCAGCCTGTGCATCACCTTTGGGCAGTCCCATACTGGGTTGGCACTGAGAGCTCCCCAGTCTTGTCCCTCCTCCTCTGGGGTCTGAGTGATGTTGGGGGTGGTCTCACCATCACCCCCTCTGCAGGCGCTGTCACCCCTTTCCCATACGCTGTCAGCCCCCAGCGTTCCCACCATCTGTGCCAGACCCGGCCCAGCCTTGTGCGCTCTCATCGCCTGTGCCAGACACATCCCAGACGAGATGTTCCCCAGCTGGAGCTGCAGCACTCTTGGCTCCAAGAGCGCAGCCCAGCTGCTGTGAGCCACCCCAGGCCCAGCACAGTCCCGCAGGGCCTCATTTCTGGCACGTCCCTGCTGGGATCCTGCTGCCCCGGGCAGGGAGCACTGCTGTGTCCCTCGACCCTGGCTGCAGGATGAAAGGGAGTGAGGGCTGCAAGGCGTCAGCCTCTGATGGGGAGGAGGAAAGGGGTGTTAGATGTGACCAGGACATCCCCTTACAGGGCAGAATCCATTTTCCCTGGCCCACAGTCTCTCCCCTCATGCCGGAGCAGCTCTGGCTCTCATGTGCACTCCCTGCAGCCGCAGCACTGATGCTGGGGGTCTCTGCAGGCCTTGCCTGGTTTTTAATGCCTCAGTGAGGGAGTGCTACGCAGCCCAGGTGGGACCTGCTGCAGTTGGTCCCTCCTTGTGCTGGTCACAGGGGCACAGTCCTGTCACCACCAGCTCCCTGGTCCTTAGGGTGTCCCCACTCCTCTGCACTGAAGCTAGCACCTGAGGAACAGGATTGGGGCAGGGCCAGCCTCCAGCGTGCACGGAAAAGCCAGTGCAGCATCCTGGCAGTGCTGGTGCATGAGTAACGTCCTGGAGCGCAGCTTCCAGGAAACCTTGGCTTCAGCCAAGGATTGCTGCAGTGAGGTGGTTTTGTCCCCGCCGGCATTGCTGCATCCTGCCCCTGTTACAGCCCCCGCAAGCCTGCCTTGCCCCTGGTCACAGCCAGCCCTGCTGCACCGGGGCTTTCTGGCTGCCCCACGGTTGCCATCTGCCCCAGGAGGGCTGTGGGGTAGGACACCCTGCTCTGGTGCCAACCCACCAGGAGATGCCCAGGACCCTTGGGGCACTGAAATATGATTTAATCAATTTCACCATTGCTTCCAGGCTGCTGGTGCCTCCGCCCTGGCCAGATGCCGCAGGACCAACCATTCTGTCCCCTGCCGGGGTGGGAGGCAGCCCTGGGCTGACCCTGCCCCGCACTGGCAGGCAGCAGGAAACTGCTCCAGAGATGCCCAGTGTGTCCTCCGCAGCTGGAGGCTGCGGAGTGCAAGGACAGGCTCCCTTCATGGTGCTGGTGTCTCTGGAGATGGGGACACAGGGAGCTGGGTTCTGCTGGTCGGGGGGGGGGTTGGGAACAAGGCTGGACTGGCTTTCGGATGCATTTCCAATGCTTGTCTATAAGTTCACCCTTGGCTCCATTCCACCCCTGCTGATCTTGGCACCACCAGCAGGCTCTGGCCCTGGCTCTGCAAACACTGGGAACTCACTCCTGGGAGACTCCCACGTCCGCCACCTCCACCCGCACATCCCAGGGGCTTGGCCTGGCCACAGGGGGCAGAACTGTCTCGCCGGGGCATGGGGACGGGGCGAGACCCCCAACCGGCTTGGCCCAGCCCACGTGTGCCACCCTCTGCATCCTGCCGGACTTCCCCAGGCCGGGCCGGAGGCAGTGTCGGGACACGTCCCGCTGCCTCTCCTTCCTGTGGGTTATTTAAAGCTGTTGAGTGGCTGTTTGGCAGAGGGTTATTTTGAGGGTATCAGGGGAGCACAGGAAGTGTGTGAAGGCCAGGCTAGAGATGGGTTTTGGGGGGAAAAAAACATAGCAGTGGTTAGGTACCCTCCTTGCTTGTCTCCAACTCCAGGTCGCTGTGCGGGTGCCTGCTAGGAGCCAGCCTGACAGAGCCCCGCCTGCCCCCCGCCCCCAAAGGGGACCATATCCAGCCATCAGCAGCACCATGAGCACGAGCAGGTCCCCTCCTGCTGTCCCCTGCTGTCCCCTGCATCCCCTACGGTGACATGAGGCCTTACAGCACCCTGTGCTGGTCCCAGTCCAGAAGGGCCCATCCTGCAGGTCTCCCATCACGGGGCAGCTGGCTGGGCTCAGATCTGTCCCCAGCAGTGACCGTGACCCGGGTGGGGAGGGTCACAGCCATCTTCGGCAGCTACCGCCCCTGTCCCTGGGCTGGGGCAGGGATCCCAGAGCCGGACTCCCTCCACTCACCAGCGTCACCCCAGGGCCTGGACCAGTTCATCTCAGCACTGAACTGGCAGCACCCAGTGGAGCGGAGGGAGGGAGGCTTGGCACCTGGGTGCCCTCAGTGGGGATACAGGAGCAGTCGAGACCCTCTTGCGGACTTGTCACAGAGCATCCCATGGGACAGGTTAGCAGGAGCAGGGGGCCAGCAGCTGGTTCATGTGCACCAGCATCAGGAAGCCCAGGAAGGCTGGGGCGCTGAGCAGGGCAGACCCCGGTGGGGACACCACAGGGCATCTGCCCCCCACAGGGGGCTGAGGGTGCCGGGGTGCCCCAGGCTAGCTGCAGGCCCCCCTCGGCTCCCCTCCACCAGGGCGGGCCCCCAGTGCAGAC